TAGGGCTCATTTTCAAGGGTTTTTGGTTGAAGCAGTCTCAGCCGTCGGGGAGACTGGGACTGGGCTGGGCCCCACAGCACTTTAGGGAGCAGTTGCTTCCTACTGGAGTCTCAGATGGAACCTATACCAAGTAATCCAAACATAGCTTACAGTACCTCTTTGGGGTGGAAAATGATGTTATCTAGCTTGAAGTCTCCATGAATCAGGCTCTCCTCGTTGTCATCATGTGGCAAGTTTCCCATGAGCCACTTGGAGAGCTGGTCCATGGCAGGGATGTCGTGGTGGGCTGCAGCTTGATACTGCTTTGTCCAGGTGGATACCTGAGGGTAGGAATGAGAAACCGGTAACAGCAGAATTTGAGAGTGAGCAGTCCAAACACACGCTAACCATGTCAAATTCCATCTTAGCCCTAAGAGCTTGAGACAAATTCTCCAAGCCAAACTCCTGACAGCCTGGAACAGTTTTATCAGCTTAAAACCTTAAATATTTCAGATTTTTTTCCCACCTAGCTTATTTTTACTTCCCTGGGTTTCTATTGGACAAGAAAAAATGCTGGCCTAAGTATCAAAAGATGTTGGTTATAGTCTTTATTTAATAACTACTTTGTGGAAGAAAATATTGTGTATTCACACACACACACACACACACACACACACACACACACACTAATCATAGATAATTTCTTCCCCTAAAAGGGAATTTGAAGCCTAGAGATTTTCACTCTTAACATCCTTTCCTACCCCTGCAGAGTATTCTAATTGTACTACAAGAGCAGTGCAAAGACTTTGTATTGCTTAGAATAAAAAACAAAATCTACCTATTCTCAGACTCCTCTAACCAATGAGATATTATTTACCTGTTTATCTCTGCAGTCCCCGTGTTCCATGCTCAGTTTACTACAAAGGATCTTTAACTTTGGGGTCTTACTGACTGAGGTTTATATTATGTCCAAGTCACTTTCTTGTGTATTATCTGATCAGTATAAACCTCTTATCTGTAAAATGAGAACGATAATACCTAGGCTTTGTGTTCTTACAAAGAGTAAAAGTCCACAGTTCACCTAGCACACGGCATGGATATAGTGAATACTGTCTGCGGCTCTTTCAACCCCACCCTCAAATGACACACTTGAAAGGAAAGCATTTCCACAGTGTCTGGTCTCACTTGCCTTTGATTGGAAGGGTCAACATCTCTGCCCTATCACTTTACATCTTATCTTTCCCAATAAAGCCCCCTGCCCCCGACCCAAGCCAAGGCACACCAATCTCCACACTCTGAATGTACAACTCTTGTGATGAGCACCAAGCGATTTACTACTAGGTTATACACTCTTTAGGACCATTTTCCAGTCTTATGTATATGAGATTCATGCATGGGTGTCTCAAAAATGAGAGCAAGAGCCTATTTATACTTTCCTGACATTTAAAACAGCATTCAGCAAGTACTAAACACACAGTAAAGTTTAATAAGTATTTGCTTAGCACAACCCAGAAAGGAAAATTGGGGGGGGGGTTCCAGTTCCCTCTTCTGGCCACCGCGGGTATTGCATGACACGGCACACAGATGCAGGCAAATCTCATACGCAAAAATAATAAATAAAATATTTTTTAAAATAAATAAAATCAGGGGCTGGATTGATGGCTCGGTCGGTAAAGTGCTTTCCAGGAAAGAATTAGAACCTGTGCTGGGTAGCTTTAGTGTCAACTTGACACACCTGGGTTGAGGGAGCCTCAATTGGGAAATTGTCTCCATTGGACTGGTTTGTGGCCATGTCTGTGGGGCATCATCTTGATGAGTGATGTGTGAGGGCCCAGGCAACCGTGGGTGGTGCCACCCCTGAGCAGGTGGGCCTTTGTTGCATAAGAAAGCAGACTGAGCTGAGGCTAGGGGAACAAGCCAGTGAGCAGCGTTCCTCCATGGCCTGCACTCCAGCTCCTGTCTCCAGGTTCCTGCCCCGAGTTCCTACCTTGGGCTCCCTGATGAACTGTGACCTGGGAGATGTAAGATAAATAAACCCTTTCCTCCCCAAGTTGGTAGTGGTCAGAGTGTTCTGTCACAGCAATGGAGAAACAAACCAGAATAGAACCTAAGTCGGATCCCTAAAATCTACATTTAAAAAAAAAAAAAGAAAAAGCAGATGTGGTAGTACACACTTGTAATTCAATTCCGGCAGTAGGCAGGTGGAGACAGGCCAAGCTCTGAGGCTCACTAGTCATCCAGACTAGCCTGATCAGTAAGCTCCAGGTCAACCAATGGGAGACTCAGTCTCAAAAATAAGGTGGATATGCTGAGGAATGACATCTGAGGTTGACCTCTGGCCTCCACTCTGCACTCATGTACATATATATGTGTACCCACACACACATGTGCACCCAACTACACACACACACACACACACACACACACACACACACCAAAATAAAGTTACTTCATGCTAAAAATCAGTGTGAAGGATGATGTTAAAATAGCAAAGGTTCAGACAGGGTTTTACTTTGACTAATTATATACAGTAAAATTACTTCTGAAAACTTGGAGGACGTTTTTTATTAACATGCAGTTTATTACTCTTATTTTAAAATGAACCAACAAATTTCTTTTAGAAGAAGCGTTTCATTTCAGCTTTAACATATTCAATAAAGATTTCCAGAGCAAAGATACATCTCTTTCAAAAGTGGCTGTACTGTATGGTCTTAAACACCCAAAAGGAAAGTATAACCAAAGAGTAAAGTCATCAGTTTATTTCTTTAAGAGTTCAAGGGATTACACTTCCCAGACATTAGGCTTAAGTCTATATAAAAAGTTATTTAGGCCAGGCATGGTGGCACACACCTTTAATCCCAGAACTTGGGAGGCAGAGGCAGGTGGATCTTTGTGAGTTCGAGGCCAGC